CACATATGCAGATGATACCACTCTCATGGCAGAAAGTGAAGAGGAACTAAAGAGCCTCTTGATGCAGGTGAAGGAGGAGAGCGCAAAAGTTGGCCTGAAACTCAACATTAAGAAAACTAAGATCATGGCATCCAGTCCTCTCACTTCCTGGCAAATAGATGGGGAAGAAATGGAGGTAGTGACAGATTTTATTTTCCTGGGCTCCAAGATCACCGCAGACGGGGACTGCACCCAAGAAATTAAAAGATGCTTGCTCCTGGGCAGGAAAGTTATGGCAAATATAGAGAGCATACTAAAAAGCAGAGACATCACCCTGCCAACAAAAGTGTGTATAGTCAAGGCTATGGTTTTCCCAGTTGCAATTTATGGTTGTGAAAGTTGGATGATAAGGAGGGCTTAGTGCTGACGAATTGAGGCCTTTGAATTGTGGTGCTGGAGAAGACTCCTGCAAGTCCCTTGGACTGCAAGGCCATCAAACCGGTCAGTCCTAGAGGAGATCAACCCTGACTGCTTTTTAGAAGGCCAGATCCTGAAGATGAAACTCAAATACTTTGGCCACCGAATGAGAAGGAAGGACTCACTGGAGAAGAGCCTAATGCTGGGAACAATTGAAGGCAAAAGAAGAAGGGGATGGCAGAGATTGAGGTGGCTAGATGGAGTCACTGAAGCAGTCGGCATGAGCTTAGGTGGACTCTGGGGGATGGTGGAGGACAGGAAGGCCTGGAGGAATGTTGTCCATGGCGTCGCAATGGGTCAGACACGACTTCGCGACTAACAACAACAACAACAACAAGGAGGTCATTGGGGAGAAAGATCTGAGAATAAAATGCTTCTCTCTCTAAAATTCATTTTACCTGGCACAGTGTCCTAGTTTCTCCTTTAAACAGCAACTTGGTGCCGGAGGTCAGACTAGATAGCCCAGGAGACCCCTTCTGACTCGCTCTGTTTCTATGTTTCAAGTCACCTCTATGCACAAAGAGGTGGAATCCCCTGATACTTCTCCCTACTGAACCTCTTTCAGCCTGAGGACCAATTTCACTTTAAAGAAATTCATATGGGTTCTATTTCAGTGGCTGGTGAGGTTGAAGGCCAAGGGGGTGGCACCAAAATACCAGCTTAAATGGGGAAGAACACACAAATGATAGGAAACCACCAAATGACTGCGAAAGGGGAATATGCCTCAGAGGCCCTGGTCTGTCATGAGCTGATTGAAAATCTTTTCAAGTCTTGATCTTTTAAAAATGGGACTTACGATGCTAGCAGTTGGCTTTTAAACAAATCTATTAAATAAATAAATCCCTGTGAAACATTGCCATCTACTGAGCATCCTTCATGATCATTCCTCCTTTCAATTAAGCCTGAGATTACCTTTGATAGGTCTGTAATGTAGATTATTTAGAGAAAAGCTAGTTTGCTGTTTTTAATACTACTTTTCTGCTTTCTCCCCTCATCCCTAATATTTGCATCGCTAATCTCAATGAAGCCTCTTAATTTGGAACATGTGGTTCAATTATATACTTTTGACAACTCAAGGATCTTTCTTCTGAATCTCAAACTCTACCTTTATGCTTCACACTTAGATCAAGGAGAGGCAAGGGGAAAAGAATGATGATCGAGGAGTTAGCTGATAGCTGCCCCCCTTTTAAGTTGGAGATTAACCTGCAATGCTTGGAGATTTTCTTGCTTAATTATGGTGAATTGAGAGGTGACCTTTGGTCTGTATTTCAGTATAATAAAGCAATTATAATATAACTGAATATTGGGAATATAACTGAGGAAAGAAAGGAAAGGAAAGGAGTCCCTGCTAGCTGAAATGGCTATAGGGGGCAGCAATCCTCTCTGCTTCAAAGAAAGGCCATGAGCCAGCACTGTCCAAGGATGTTCCTGTGGTCATGCGGCCCACATGACATCATGGGGCACTGTTTCCTCCCCACCAAAGTGGTACCTATTTATCTACTCACATTACATGCTTTTGAATTGCTAGGTTGGCAAGAGCTAGGCACAAGGCAGCAGGTTATCACCCCATTACACAGCTTTGAACTGCTGACCTTTTACTCAGCAGCTCAGTGGTTTAACCTGCTGCGCCACTGCACCCCCTTATAACCTCTTATAACTGAAGATAAAAATACTTTAAATAAGGAAACAAATAGTCCTATAACTCCCATAATGCCCCATGCTGGCTGGGAGATGCTGGGAGTTGTAGGACTCTTTTCTTTCTAAGCATGCATAGGATTGCATCCTGAATTATAAAGTAGTAGATACTGTGGTACTGTGGGGTGAAATGGAGAGAAGCAATTCAAGCAGAATATCAGCAAATTCATTTATTTACAATAAAGACTTCTTAAACTGTAGGATAAACTCTCATGAAGATATGTCAGATTCTTCATGTTCTAATAAGATACACAGTACAGTAAAAGCTCTTTATCAGATTAGAGGGCATGGCTTTCCTGTTCAGTATAGAAAAGTGCAAATACTGACATTTAACCACATTCCAGTTTGTGTACTGGTTTGAATAATTTACACTTTCTATGTAAAGAAATGGGAACTGAAGGAATACCTAGATAGTAGATATATTTATTTCATTAAATTCTAGGCAATTGTCAGTTAATTCTTTTCTGGAATTAGAAAGAGATAGCATCAATAAACATTTTTGGGAGGTCGATCCTATATCTTAGAATGTGATCTCATCCCATTGGGAATATGAAAAGCAGTAAATAAAATCTCTTACCCGGAAAATGTCATCTTCAGAGGCAGCAGAAACAGCCTCTTTCATCGCCTTGTCTAATTCTTCTTCTGCTGTTAAGTCTCCAGAGATTGCTCGCCGGATCTCTGGTCCAATGTCATGCAATGTTCGCAAACCAGCCTGGAAAATAGCATAATTCAGCAAACTGATAGGCAAGAGAATAGCAGTGACATGTTAAAAATATTTAATAGAGACTAAAAATACTTCTAAAAGCCACTGACCTTCAATGAAGTGGGATGTTGTATCACTGACCTTTAAGATTTAGACCAGATGCCTATCACCCAAATCAACTGATTATGGGCAGAATCCTAAGCATGACTAGACAGAAAAAAGTCCTACAACTTTCAACATTCTCCAGCCAGCATTATGACATAAACATAGAAAATTGGAAGAGACTGAAAGTCCCCACTCCCACAATTCTAAACTGATTTAATTGTAGAGCTGATCCTTGAAGCAATCTTAGCTCTTCAAAAACTGAAGTACTGAACATTGTACTTCTGTACTACAGCAGTACTTTCCTTGCATCTGGTGCATGAAAAGAAGAACCTAGAGAAAATCACACATGCTTTTGACTCATCAATTACAGTGGGACCGCCATAGACAAGCTTCAGCCAGTTCATACTACACATCAGATTTTTTTTTTTTGGAGGGGGGGATATTAATTGATTCTCAAAGAGCTGCTACATGTGCTGGGCACCATTTTGAATTTGCAACCATTGATTGGGGATTGTGATGTCATCCAAATGCAACCAACAGGGGTTAAATAACCCTCACAGAACCCTACAACAGTCCAAGACTTGTGTAATTCTTGCACAACCCCCAATGCCAAGTCTGGGTGGCAGGTGCCATGACTTACATGGGTTAAATACATACCTAAAATAATGCTGTCTTTGTGCAAACTTATATCTATCTATTCAGGAGTAAATCCACTGAGTTCAGTGGGTTTTCTCCCTGGTAGTTAGATATAGAACTACAGGTAAGTTTAGGAAGAACATGATAGAAGAGAGTACCCAAATATTTATCAGGCTAAAAGCACCTACATAATTTCTTACAATTTACCAGTACCTTTATAGGTCATATATAACAGAGATATGAACAGAGTATGGCTTTATAACCTCACTCCCTCATAATTTCTCTTGCTGCTTAAAAGTACTCCTAGGAATTTGATCCAACCTACATTTATTTATAAATAGGTTCTTTTTAGTATCAGTGGAATTTGAGAGTGCAACCCTGTTGATTCTCCTGGACCTTTCTGTGGCTTTCAATACTATCAATTATGGTATCCTTCTGGAGAAGTTGGCCAGATTGTCAGTCACTTCTATCTGGCTGACAATCTCCAGATGGTGGTGCTGGGGGACTATAGCTCTGTGCCATGGCCACTGTGCCATGGGGTTCTACAGGGCTCAATGCCCCCCCATGCTCTTTAACATCTACATGAAATGGCAGGTGGAGGTCTTCCAGAGGTTTGGGCTGAAGTGTTATCAATATGCCAATGACACTCAGCTCTACTTCTTGTTTCATCCAATCCAGGTGAGGTGATGACCATTCTTAATCAATGCCCAGGCTTGGCAATATTGAAATTTGCCAGGTGACATCTCTTCTATCTTTTCACCACCAATTGAAAATATTCCTATTCTGGAGTTATTTTGGTGATAATTTGGTTTTAATAACAGGGATAGGGTTAGAGTTGCTTTTGCTGTTGCCTTTTGTGAATTAAACAACCAGATCACTTTTATAAATTGACTTTTAAATTATGTTATCATTGTTTGTTTATAATCTTGTCTGGTTTTATTGTTTTAATTTGAATTGTATTTTAGCTAATTCTATTATGTGCCTTTGATTGTAAGCTGCTCAGAGAGCTTTTTTGGCTAAGGGCATGGCATATAAATTCAATAAATAAATGAATGAGCTTAGTAAGAAAACAGATATTCTTTAGCCATTCAGCACAGTCTTCAACTTTATCTAGTGACTACTCTTAAGTAAATAAGGCAGAACTTCAGCTTTCTTTCAAGTAATTAAGCCAAACAACGACAGAACTTGACTGCAGCAACTTGTTCTAATTTTGGAGCAAGAAGATAAATGGCAGCATATATCAAGTTTTCAGGAAAACCAAATCCCTTGGACAAATGAACTGTTTTCTGCTGGATTCCTGTGTAATGAAGAAAAGGCACATGAAAGGTTGCCTGATATAACCATGTTCTAATTCTTGTGTGGGTGAAAAGCTGGTTTTCTGATAGGGTCTAGTCAGAATGCATTTAAAATTGAACCTGGAAGATACCAAGTAGGAGCTTGCATCTGCCTTGGCAAGTAAATTAAGTCCTTCTGGGTGGTCTTTTCCATAGTTACATAATCTCTGCTTTAGATCTTAGCTTGAAAGAGCAAATGCATGCTGCTGGTGGATGCAGTGAATCAGTGTTACAATTATAAGCAACATCCAGGAACCCAACTTGCTGTTTTCATTGGTGTAGCCCTCATTCTATGTGGCCATTTCTTACTTGGAGAGAAAGAGCATTCCGCTGGGAAGGTTTGCCCACAAGGCCCTGTTCTTTGCGCTTCTTGAATTTCCGGAAATACTCCTGAATTAGGAATGTAGCATAGAACTTTCCAACGGTTACCTCATCATCTAGATGGGAGACATTTGAAAAAAAAAAGGAAACAAGAAGCTGAAAATGATGATCACAGTTATGTGGCTGTCTTCAATCACTTATTTGCTGGCAGTAGTGTCCAGCCAGGCAACTTGCTGCTCTTAAAGCTAATATTCTATCTTCTATCCAGGGGATCATAAAGTGTCACAGATTGACTCTGGAATTAAAGTTGCAAGAAAGGTGTACTCACCACCTGCTGGTGGCACGACCTGATCCAACAGCTTCATGCTAGTGCGTTTCCAGATTTTCTTAATGATTGCACGGAGTTCTTCATTGGCTTGCTCCAAGTTACCTGCCAAAGGAAGAAGTAGTCAGAGAAGTAATTAAGGAAATAAAACTATTTCTTATACAAAATAATAATATGCCAGTCCCTTAGTGCCATGTAAAAATGACAATGACATCTTAAAATAGGACTATCAGAAACATTTTTGGTTGTACTAAAGAAAATGTAGACCAAACAAGAAAATATAAAAAATATAGAAATACAAATTTTCTTTGTTAGTCTTTTCTAACTCACAAAACAGAGTGGAAGAAATATACTTGCTGCATATGGATAAACAGAAAGTCATGCAAAATATATTTGAGCAAACACTGTATATTAAGGAACTCTAAGGAATACTCTTCTCTCTGTGGAAAGATTAGGTGAAAATCTGCATGTGAACTATGAAGGAAGAAATCCAAGATACAATACTTCCTTGTGAATGATCTATGAAACTGTTGTGGCAATTAGCACCATAAAAGAATAAAGGTAATGAAGCTGGGTTTAACAGCATTATAATATTGCACAGTCACAGTGGTTTCTAGGAAGCAAAGTTGTACAATTAAATAATCTATTCAGCAGGAGAAAGCTTCAAGAACAAAGGCATCCTAGGAATAAAGTTAATATGGCTTTTTTCAAGCATTGTATAAACTTTTATAGTTTGATTCATATATAAGAATTGTAGTTATGGGTGAAGCTTGAGTAGGTCCAATTTTACACTGTACTCAAGAGGTATATGACTAGATTACTATACAGCCAGTTTTTCTTCTTGATGGGCTCAGTTGTACTATATTACAATTGCTAGTGGCTTGATAAATGCAGTTTAGTGTGGATTTAAACAAGATGAAGCAAATTAAGTCAACCCTGCAACCCAGATATTCTGACATACAAACAGAAATATGGGATACAGCCTTAAGAAACATTAGTTTGTTTCTGCCAGCTACAAAACAGTGCTAAGCAGAGGTCACTTTGGATATGAATGTAAATCTGTCCAAAACTGATTGCGTTTATTCACCCTGGGACAATTTAGTTTTTTATTGCCTAATCCTGAGAAGCTCAGGGTAGGCAACAATTTAAAGGAAACACAAATGCCAGCAAAATTATTCATATTCATTTTAACACATAAATGCAAAAACCTTTCAAAGGCAAATTTTCCAATTTTGTATTGCATCTGGATTTACAGTTTGCAAAATAACATTTTTGAATATGTCTTAAATTTGAGCTTTGTTTCAGCCATGTACTTTTTCCTGCCTCATATAATTACCTATGTGCTATAAGAAAAGATGTCAAGAAACCCACTCGAGTCTATCACATGTTAAGTATCTCACCTTCTGTTTTGATCCTCAGTGCTGTTCTGACCAGTGCAAACAAGGTTGCATTAAACATGACGGTCCCATCACTGTTCAGTGGCATATTCATGGAGACAAGGCGCTAAGGAAATGGAAAAACAAAGGAAATATGATGAATTCTTTCATACTTAACAGTTTTTAGGTTAGCTCAAAGATTATTACACCCACATCACTTTTTCTTTGCATGTATTTACTTGGAGACTGTAGAATCATAAAAGTCTAGACTAATATTTTACAAACTAAACATGAGACTAACATGAGACCAAAGGAAAGAAGCAGCGGGGAAGAAGAGATTATGGGATAGAAGTGGGCGGGCCCTGCTGTCTCACCTCTCATTTTGTAACCAGATAAAATTATGAATTGTGTCCATGACCAGATTGGCATGGTTTCTTCACCTGGGGCTATCCAGTTCAGTTTTCCCAGGACATTTGAGCAATTGATCAAAAGACCAAAAGTAGGTCTCTGAATGTGTTCTAAGAAACCAGTTTCTGTTTCATATCATAAAATCTATTGATTGGAATTCAACCAGGTAAAGGTTATAACTAGAATGCATCATGTGGAGAAAGCACAAGTCAGCCTCAGTTTCCTTTCTCCAGGAAAGCAGCATATGATGTAATAAATCATAGATGTAATAAAATGATCAGTTGTACCATATAGTTTATGTCAAAGGCTTATAACTTTTACTTCACTCGTCTGTACTTTCATTCTTACAAGTACTTTCTCAGTCTGATCACCAAATATTAGTATCATAATGAAGCAAGAAGTTCTATAAAAAGTTGGAGGTGATATTTAAAATTTTTTCACGGCACTCACTCCCCACCCATTATCCCTGGCTTACCTAGACACTGTTATGGTGTCTCTCTATCATTATTGTTTTCTTACAGAATATTTCAGTGCATGTACTAGCTGCTCACTCTTGCTGACCTCCCTCTTTGTCACCAAATCTGCCTCTCTCTCTCTCTCTCTCTCTCTCTCTCTCTATATATATATATTTATATCCTGCCTTTTTCCTATAAAGGGCTCAAGGCAGCTTACATCATTCTCCTCCTCCATCTTATCCCCACAACAACAACCCTGTGAGGTAGGTTGGGCTGAGAGTCTGTGACTGGCCCAAAGTCACCCAGTTGGCTCCATGGCTGAGCGGGGACTAGAGCCCTGGTTGGCTGAGTCCCAGTCCCATGCACTTAACCACTACGCCACACTGGCTCTCAAAGGAGGACATGTTAGAACCTGAACCAATACCCAAAAGCCTGTCATGCACTGGGATTATTATTAGTATTTAGGTGACTGGAGCTGCATGAATAGTGTTGATACCCCCATTTATATGAATTCCTTTAATTCCAGCTTTACAGCTGGCAGGATGGGTCCTTTATCTAGTTCCTGTAGTTTTCCTCAGCATCTGATAATGTGTAGGTCTGATCAGGGTAGAAAAGCTAAAGGATATTCTGTGGAAATTCCTGTTAGAATTGTCATTAACATTAAAGCCAGAAGGTAACACTGTGAATATTGTACCAAGCCATAAACCTAAGTTGCCAATGGGGCTCTTAGTAAGGATGGTGACTGGATCCAGAGAGAGGTTTCAAACAAAAATTATATTTTGTTACTTTGTATCCTAAAAGTATCTACCAAACTAGAGTAGCCAGACTGTGTTGAAACACAATTTCTATCATCTCCAGTCAGAATTCACACTGGTCAGGGATGATAGCAGTCATTTTCCAACAACATCTGGATGTCCTAGTTTGTCAAAGTCCACATAAAACAGTAAAAAGTCATACCTTGCAAGCTACTCGGTGAGGGCAGAGTTTTCCAAAACCCAGTGGAGGCTGTATCCGACGCAAGAGGGTCACGACATCTAAGTGTTTGATACGTCCTCTATAGGACAAGGAGCAAAAGCAACCCATTATGTACAGTTAGGAATAAACTGTATTAAGCTGTATGAGTAAAATAAAATCCTGTGGGCTTGAGTGCGTTCACAGTAAGGGTTCAAGTTATATGCCAGCTGGTTTCTGATAATCCCAGACACTTACATAACCTTGAACCCTCAGGTTATTTCCAGCCAAGTTTTATAGCCAATTCTTTTAAGTTACTTAGTGAATTAATTCTACAAAGAAGGCCACTTATAAGCACTGGAGCAGGTAATAAAACATGGAAACCTTTAGATTTAGTGAACATCAGCATCTAATAAAGGTGAACTAAATGAGTTACATTCCAGGATAATCTGAACATTGTCTTGAAGGGCAACACCAGCACATTCTTCCTTTCTTGGATTTATTAATTTTGAGGCCTGATAGCTTCTCTTATCTTCAGTGTGAAGCATCTAACAACAACAATACACTTAAATAATATTTCAGTGCAAAACCCCAATTGTTCCTGTATCTGTCTGTTTTCATGCAGAATGCTTCATCAAGCAGTGGACTATATTCCTCCCTTTCATGTCTTTCCATGGGACTTTGCAAAGAAAGAATATGCTTAGAAAGACCGTTAAGAACAGAGGAGATAATGAGAACAAACTTACTTGCCTAGACTAGGAAAATGGATTATACTTTTACTACTGGAGTTCTCTGGAGTTCATTTTTCAAATTAATGAAAACCTCTACAGAATTTCTTTTTATAAAGAAGTACAGAATATAATGTTCTAAATCAAACATTCTAAAACATACCTTAAAAGAAACAGAAAACACAACACAACACAAAAGTTTATTGCTTGCATTTTGAAATCTTGAGTCATCTGAATATGTTTTGTTTATATACTACAGAAGAAGTTCAGTGCACTTTTCTTATTGCTCTCTCATGTTGGACTTTAGACCTGACTTTTTGGTCTTTTCCATTCCAGTGATTATGTGATACATAGCATGGCCTATTAGACTTGTTGTTTATGTTCCCTCAAGTCATCTCTGACTTATGAATGAAAGCCCTCCAGAATTTCCTATCAATGACATCTCAGCTTAGGTGTTCTAAATTCAAGGCTGTGACTTCCTTTATGGACTCAATCCAACTGTAATTTGTTCTTCCATTTCTTCATCTGTGTTCAATGTTTCCCTACCACAATCACCTTCTCCAGTTAGTCTTGTCTTCTCATGAAGTGCCCAGGGTATGCCAGCCAAAGTTTTGCAATTTTTGCTTCTAGGGAAAACTCTGGCTTGATTTGATCTAAGTTTCACTTGTTCCTCATTCTGTCAGTCCAGAATATTGGCAAAGCTCTCCTACACCACCAAGTTCTGAATGCATCAAATTTCTTCCCATCAGCTTTCTTCACTGTCTCTGAGTGCTTTCCAACCTAGGGACAGGGTCTCATCTTCTGTCGCTCTCTCTTGTTTCATTTTGGACTACTTCATCATAAGGTTTTCAAGGTAAGAAGATGAAGAAGTGGTTTACCATTGCTTTCTTCTATGTAGTATTAACCAGAGTTAGTTGCGATGTCACCACTTTTGTCTGTGATGGTGCTCCACCACTGGCACTTTCAGCTACCACCCAGTAGCTGCTCTTCAGAAGTTTCTCAGCTCCCATCACCATTAGACAGATTCATTCTCTTCTGCTGATGTGACTGTTACTTCTGAAGAGTGTGGATGCATCTTAGTCTGCTGTCTCAGGTTTGACCATCCCTGCTTGGGTGACCCTGATAGGAGACCAGTCTAGTGAGACAATCTGGCCTCCTGGCAGCATTGCTTTCAGCTTCTCTGACACTGTCAAACACCTTCACCATGTTAACATGTGCATACAAGAGGGAACCAGTAGGCTTGGGGGAACATTAATTTAAATGATGATGAAAATGAAGAGAAACTTCCACAAAAGCAACCTCAGCAGCCTCAGTTTCTGCTCTCCAATAATAGCATTTACTTAAATTGCATTTGGGTCAACATTAGCGCAATGTGCAAAGCCTCATTTTCAATGCAAGTACCTCCAGTTGTAGTATGGGGTGGGGAAAAATAATCCTGAATTACCTTACATAGTTATGTGCACTAGACATAGATAATAACTATGCTTTGAATACATGAAAGCACTGTACAAGTTAATATTATTAACTTTTAGGTATATTACAGCATTGGTATCATGATGCTAAATTTTGGGGAGAACAGATAGCGTTAGTTCAATTCTTTTAAAACATTCTAGGGAACATACTTTGCTTCAGGATCATATTCTGCCCAGATCCTTTTAAACTCATCCAGATGATGAGGACCAAGGATGGACCAATCCCGTGTCAGGTAATCAAAATTATCCATGATAACAGCTACAAAAAGATTAATGATCTGCGAACAAGAGCAAGAATGTTAATAATAGGTTAATGGAATCCATGCCAGAATCAATCACTTTTTGAGTTCATTTTCATGCACAATTCAGGACCTGAGGCTTTGAATAAGGAAAGTAATGAAAATAGTTAATTTCTTGGGCTTCCACACCCAATTTGATCTAGATATATTGTGAAACCCAGCATCACTCAAGTGGGGAGTGGTGGCAACATATTATAAAATAGGTAACATTACCGAACTTTCTTTAAAAGGAAGGCAATATTGTTGTTGGTGCATATTTCACATAGGGGGGCTTTTATACATACCTGAAAATTATACATTAAAGAAATTCTGCCCGTTAAAAAGGAGCTTCATCTATTTGTACAGCAGCTATATTAGATTATTTCGGCATGTCTTTCATGAGGAATATCCCACCAGCCATGCATAGGTAAGCTGCTAGTCGCCCATATGTGTGATGCACAGAGATCATGATGAATAAAGGCAGGTTGCTTACCTGTAACTGTCAGTCTTCAAGTAGTCATCTGTGTATTCGCACAACCCATGTTCATACAGTCACCCACCTAGCCTACTGGTTGCCATGAGTGACATAGCTATCTGTGTTTGTCCATGGCTTTATCTGCCCTGTGTTTTTTCCCTTCCATAATTGGGTATGGTACCATTTTGCTAAATGCGGGGTCAGTACTACCAATCTTCCCTTGGTCCCAAGGCCACTGGGCAGTCTCACTGGAACTTAAGAGAAATGGAAAGAGCCCCTTCCATTTATATGGACATCAGGTGGGGGAGGGGTTCCTGGCAAAACACTCTTAGCTATTAAATCTTCTGGGTAACAGGCTCCATGCAGGTACAGAGCCCATACATGTGAATGCACAGATGACCGCTCGAAGCACTACAGTAACAGATAAGCAACCTGCCATTTAGTGCATGGCAAGTTTTTAGCCAAGGATTTGAATGCTGGACAACATTTCAAATACATTTTATCATTGTTATTATTTTAAGAATTGAATTAGGGACACAGTGACTATCTAAAGGGAGAGTTCAAGCAGGTCTCCTTTTCTCATCTCTGTGACTGAGAGAAAGGAGAGCATCTGAATGAATGTGAACATTACAACATCATTACATTTCCTGATAATTTGTTTTAGCAGCCTGTACAAATGCCTTGTAACTTATTTGCCATAATTCCTGAGAATTTCCATCATTTTAGCTCTTATACGAATACTTTTCAGTAAGCATGCATATGATGGTTTCTAATACATCCACAGTATCAATAAAATTACTTCAAATGTTATCAGTCTTTCTAATGATTTTTCTCAGGTTAATGTGCATGTTTTCTAGAATGATAATTTGGATGTGTCAGGCAAATGGGTGATTGTACCACACCTAGAATAGTATGAAAACTTGGCCATGCAGAAAATGTTAGAGAGACATGAAGGACTGGGTTATATCAAATGATGGGAAGTGCTTCTGCTCAAACAAATTGGGGCACCCAGTTTTCACCAGCACCCTATGTACTGCCATTCTTTGCATCATATACTATCCTATGCCTTATCTACCCTCAGAAGCAGTTTTTTATGAGGGCAGGGGACTGGTAAAAATCATGTTCCAACTTTCATGAGCAAACATGTTCCCCTTGGGCCAAACCACTTTTGGATATCACTCATTTGTTTCCTATTAATGTATTTTTATTACGAAAGGTATTTCTAACAGAAGGGAACTTTCTTTGTTTTCTATAAAACAAGAAATGAATTAATCATGGGTAATATTTGTTAGCATTGTACAAAAAACACAAAACCATCATGTGTTCAACTACGGTCAAGGGCTTCTCTTCTTGTTGCAACAACAGTTTACAAAATTATCATAGTTCTTCATATGCACTACATTGATTTACTTATTAGAGAAGAATTATACTATTATTTTATGAAGCAACTTGAAATTTTGGGAGTGCTATATATTTCTTTCTTTGCATGATATAAAATCTGCTTTTATGTATGCAGTCAAGACCCTTTATTCTAGAATACAATTTAATGGGATTTTTGTTACTGTTCTTGGTTTTAATATGGCTTGCAGTTTGAAACCACTTTTTCCCTAATAAAATTGGTTAGTGTTAGTGTTCAGGACTCTTCAGAATAAGCAATTAACACAGTATGTACTTTGTCATATGACCCCAGTATTTCCTTTGTATTTTCAAATTGAAATATACCCTTTTTGGATTGCTTCATCCAGTGAGCCACAATGTGGATTAGGCAAACCTATGGAAGACAGATGGATGGCTATTATTCCAGGGTGCTAAAAGGAACCTCCACTTTCAGTGGAAGTAACAGGTTGAGTGCTGTTGCATCCATGGCCTAAAAAGAGCATTCCAGCAGAGTTTCACTAGCATGCTGCTCCTGAAGAACAGCTCTCCTCCAGAAATGGAGGAAGACACATAGCAGGGTCTATGTCTTTGACTTCTGCTCTAGTAACCTCATCTTCCATGATGGGTGAGAGATGGGAAATAATCATTATATATAAACTGCTGTTTTCTCCTTAAGTTCTTCTCTTCCATTACACAAGAAGTCTAGACTAGTTATCTCTGCTTTTCTATTAGTGCAACTTTTTCAACTTGTTAATTGGTTGTAAGGGCTGTCAATCAGTTTCTCTACCTTCTTATCATTAAAAATGCCCTCCTTTTCTTAAAAATAAGTTGCTACTAACTGTACATGTCATCTTGAAATTCCCTTTTTTATGGCAGGGAGTCAGTAAGAAATACTAATGCAGCTGATGTCAGAGATAATACATTAGCTCTGGAGAGCTTCTGGCATTAATTTGATATGTTGATACTCAGGAAAACTCAATATCTAATCAGTTCATAGGACAAATAACATTTTGTGTGGTTATGGTGGAAAGCAAAATATAGAATCCACAGGCTCTCTTTTGGAGTTTGCACCTTGCAGCATATCATGAAACTTGACTCTGTAGTCCTAAAAAATATGTGCTTTTAGCTTCCAGAAATTTTTGGTTAGCAGTTGTGAAGAGATGAGTGCCTTGGTATGGCTGCTTAGGGCAATGTGTTTATCCATGAGTACAGATGAACAGTAGTCGATCACCTGTTTTGCACTGCAGAACAGTGCAATCCCTGCTAACTCCACTTGTTTTGCTTTTGAAGGATCAGGTGGTGCTAGGAAAGGTGTCTGTCTGACATACACCACCAGTTAGAGTAGACATTATTGGGCTAAGCAGTCAATATTTTGAGCTAGCATAAGGCAGCTTCTTCTGTTCCTTAACATACATACATACATACATACATACATACATTTATTTATTTATTTATTTATTTATTTATTAAAAGCTTTTCTATTCCATTCCCTACAAATAGCTCAGGACAGTGAGACATTAAAATTAGTGCATCACTTATAAACTACCAACATACTCACCAGGAAGGCACAAAGCATGTAGAAACTGATGAAATAAAAGACAGCAAAGCTGCTTCCACATGGATGTTCCCCATCATTAGAGTTGTTTGGTTCAAAGGAATCAGGATCACACTTCTTATCTGGGAGGCATGCCAGCATGATTTCTTGCCAAGCTTCACCAGTAGCACATCTGTTAGAAACAGGTTGATGGAGAAGAAGGTAATTCATCATTACCAGTGAATATAAAAGTTAAAAACTGAGCCAATAGTGCATGTTTCTCCATTTAATGGGAACTTGCAGGCCTGAAACAGAGTGCAACTCATGAGCCGAAAGCAGCCAAGGTATTGTTAGGATCAGCCAAGCTTTCAGTTAGCTAGTCACAGAAGATTAGATGTATTTTGTGAGATACTATGTAGAAGTATCAGATCTTAAGATATTATTGCAGACAAGATACAAAATTCAGTGGAATATAAGCAAATTTGATGTGACTCCTAGTAGAGAGACAGGGGTAATTCCCCTAAGGATGGTTGAATATTTATTTATTTATATTTATACATGTATTTATAGGCTACCTATAACTGCTGAATATGGCATACATAATACAAGACCCACCTGAAAAGGAGCAGCACTGCCTGAGGGAAAGTCTGAAAGTTGTTGTTCCGATTGATTTCTGTGGTATCATTCAAAGCAATTTTGCCAAACACCTAGTAGAAAGAAGTAGCTTGTAAGATTACACTTCATGCCACCTATCACTGACGTTAAAAAGTAGCTCTGCTTTCCACATTCAAATGGTTCAGATACCCAAATTCAGCCTTACATCATCCCCCAGTATTGTTTATAAATCTGCAGCATGTACAGTTCTTCATTACAACTGAAGTTGATAATTTTATTTCAAATTTTAGTTTTATTCCACTAAAAATATTAAGAATGTAATCTATTCCCTAAAAATATAGCAGCACTTTCAGCTTCATCTATGGCATTCAGTTTTCTCTACATCAACAGATGCCATTAGTAAAAATAGTGAACTATTTAGAAAAGGAAATACAAGGGTTTGCAGTGGTTTAGGACTGGGTGGGGAATACCGGGAGTCATAAGACTTTTTCTGACTAATCATGCACAGGATTAAACCCTTAGTCATAAATTCTGGGTACCAGCTCACGTATTGCATATGTACAATAATGTTCTACTGTAAGATTTTATATATGCTAGAAAAGATTTGCCAAGAAATCCTCTCCCTTTCTCTTACAGTTATAGATACTCTAGCTTTTTAAGATACCTGTAAAGAAAATGGTACATGAAGATGAATTATCCACATATGAAATTAAAGAACTTTTTCATGTTGTTCATGAACTAGTTCAAATATAATTCTGTGGCAAAATGCATGAAACCAGCACTCTGAAAGTAGATCTGAAGTTCTTATTGCTATTCCAGAAAGTTTAACAAACTCCCTTTTTTCCAAGCAGGTGTGTGTGTGTGTGTGTGTGTGTGTGTGTGTGTATTACTGATAGTATGTCATTATTATAATCTAAGCAGTAATCAATATTAAGACTCTGCTCCTTTAGAGGGAAGCAAGTTCTGTGGAACTCAGAATCTATACACTATTGTATTTAGATACAAGATGGATTTATAACTCAATATTTAATTATAGGCTGCATTGATGCATTATAGAAGGAGAAATGTAGGGTTGCATCAATACCTCTAGCATGCCACTGCAGCTCCAATGAACTTTATGTTTGCATAGCTGTTGTACAGTACATGGAATTCAAAGTCCTGCGTACTATATAAAGAGTGAACATTTATAGCACTGCAGAGAGCTCAAAGGAGAATAAGTTATTGGAATGGCCAAGGAGTAGAAGAGGAATCAGTTACGGACTGCAACAAGTCTCTGCTTCGCCTATGTGAACCCTTGGCACTGCTTTTCAAAGAAAAGGAGAGAATTTAATTTCCGGTATATCATTAGCCATTAACTGATATCAGGTTTAGGGAAGGGAGTATTTAGGGAATTTGTTAGAAGGCTAATAGGGGACTATCTGGTCTTGTATATTTTTCAGGTTCAGGTGCAAAGACAAGATAATCTTTGGCTGACCTCTGTACACGTTGCCTTGGTTGCAACCATTTTCTTTCCACGAGGAAACTGATCAAACAGAAGTAATGCATTTTAAAAGAAACAACATTCAGCATCGGAGGAGCAGGAAAATGGTTTTTACAAGGAAGTTCTCTAAAGTTTGTTGCCTTAGGAGCCCTCTGGAATTCTCCAGGCTCAGACTCCTCCACTCACTAGTTAGCAATGACAGTCACAGCTGTTCTGAGGAGGCGCTGGGAGTTACCATTGCAGAAGGACAGATTATATACTCTGAGGCAGGCCATACTTTTCATCTCAGAAAGCAAGACTATGAGGCAATGTTTCCACATAAAACTATTTCTTTTGTTCTTCTGAACTCTCCACATAACAGACAAAATTATGGGCAATTGTTAGGCTAAAATCAGTGTGTTATGTTACTCATTGGCACACCACAATATGTAGAAATGGTTGCAATGAAGAAGATAGCACAAAAGGAGATTCCTCCTTTAAGCACACATGCTGAACCTTCAAATAAACAGCCTCATCCTTCATCATCAATTTGTATTTTTCCACTTGATCAAATAAGTTGGTGAAGCTTAAACACTGTGATACTTTATCAGAGGAGACACATGAGATGGATTCTTCTTTTAACTGGGAAACTTATGTCATTGTCACTTGTGATGCTTCCAAAATAAATGACTCAACAGTAATGTGTAAAGGGTATTTCTCTGTGTGTGTGTACATGCACACACGCGCACACACACTCACAGAATGAGAGAGAAAGAGAGAGAGGGAGAGAGGTCTGTGTCTCTGTGGAAATATGAATGAGAAAATCTTGTATCATATTTAATTTTTATACACTGACCCATCCCCACAGACTCTGGGAGGTTTAGAAGAGATTAAAACTTAACAATGATTGAAATTTGACTAAAAACAAGCATATTAAATACAACTAATCTGGGAAGGTTTGTTGGAATAGATGCATCTTTAATTTCCTCTTGAAGGTAGCAATCAGATGCATCTCTCCCAGTGGACCATTCCTTAGTTCAGATGCAACTGCTGAGAAAGTCCTGTAGGTAATTGTCATTAATCTTAAGAAGCAAACTTCAGAAGATTATCCCCAGAGGACCTTAGCAGCTGATGCTGAATACATGGGCAAAAGTGCTCCGGAAGTAATTCTGGACTCAAGTCATCTCTCACACCTCTCTCATTGCAATTGGCAAAACCTTTATATGCCCCTTTTAACAACTGAGAAGCTGAGGAGGTAAAGCTTTGTAGAAAAAAGATGCAACAAATATTTGGCACAAAGCATGAGGCAAAATTGTCTGATCTTTTTCCAAATTATTTTGTAATTTTTATAACTAGGAAACACGAGTTAAAGCAAGAACTTTGGCTGTGACCCTTTTAAAACTCAGTCTTTACTCTTTCATTTTCTAATAACTTCAGTTCAATTAGGAAAAAATATTTCCAGTCTAGGAATCAGAGTGGCCAGTACTCATCCAGGAGAGTTGTACACTGTGTATAAATCAAGTGCATTTCTGCTTATCATGTATATAAGAGGGAACTGTGAATTCTGTCTCACATACACAGATTAAGAAATGCAAATAGGCATGGGTTTTAATTGGCAAAGGTTCCCATTAATTTCTGATGGGTAAGGGCTGAAATAAACAAGACTATTGGAGCAGGTGCAAAATGAGTGGCAAGTTTATCCCAACCCTGATGCTGCTTTTGTGTACATACCTTTCCCTTTCCCCGTGTACATAAATGGCTGCTAGGCTGAGTAACTGGGTACATTTAATCATTCCTGATGCAGACACAGGAGAATTACCCATCCTAAGATGCTGTTGCTTTGCATCCTTGTATGAATCTCTAAAAGCCACAAAAAACTTTTTTCTGAATGAAAACTGGAGGGGTGAACCAGTTTTAAACTTGATAACATTTCCTGTTAGTGTATAAAAGGATAATAATTAATTGTTCTTATTTAATACAGCTGTCCTCCCTAATATTTAATCTTGAGTATGCATATTCTTTGAGGGAGGGGATTCTTTTTGTAAATTCTAAAAATGAACATTTTTAGGCATCACAATGAAGTTTGCTTCCACATTTTATGCAGTGGAAAATAACTACTTTAAAATAACTCAGAATAACTATTGGAGACTAGCAAACACCAGTTTGGTATGTAAGAAGATGAATGGCCACTTTGCTGTCTCTCACAGAGTGGTTTAGATCAACAGAACTAATTTGAACACTACCTTCTATTGGCACGACTGTTTCAATAGATCATTTTATAAACCAACCCACTTTGTTTTTGTATAACTTGTCAAAATTTTCAAGTCAAGACATTTTTGCTACTAATTTCTGTGGTCCCTCAAATATATATGTAGATGGGGGCTTAATATTGGGAAGTCACCTACCTGCATCCCAATCACAGCATAGATAAAAAACAGCATCACAATTAAAAGAGCCACATAGGGGAGAGCCTGAAAAAAAAAAACCAAAAAAATAGATCATGGTATATCACTTAATAAGACCACTTGGCTTATTGGAACTTGTAACAATCCCATAATCCTCATATTATTGAAAGAACCTGAGGTAAAGACACAGAGGCCAAGAATAGCTTTGCCTAGTCACTTTGCAAAACATATTTGCAAAAACATACAACATATTTATACTTGAGCTTTCATTCACGTATTGTCACATCCAAAAGGAGAACTGTAGATTCCATCTCTCCATCATATAGAGATCATATCATCATCTACATTTAATCTTACCTTTACTTCAAGGAACTCAAGGGAGTAGGTATGGTTCTCCCCCCACATTTATCCTTACAACCTAAATGGTAGCTAGAATGAGTGATTGTGGCCACTACAAATTCATCCAGTTAACTTCATAGCTGAGTGGGAATTTGAACTTGAGACTCCTCAGTCTTAGCCCACTACTCTTAACCACCATACCATAGGCTTTCCCAGGAATGCACAAGATCTCTCATATCCCAGTTATGTGTATACTTTATTTTGGGACATGGTCAAAAAGCAGAAGCATGATGTACTCATGTGCCTATTTGTTTGTATTTCATGTACCATGCAGTCACTCAGATAGCATGGGAACAATTGATGTAATGCATTCATTTTCCCACTAGATGCCTCTACTGCTCCATCTTTGATTTTGCCACACCAATCCTGATATTATCACATAAAACCATACTATGTCAACTGTGTGACAATTAAATCTTTGCATGTTTGTTTTTCTGGCATTAATATTTGTATCAGAAAACACAATGTGTGAATAGGCCCAACTGTGAAATTTCTTTGGTTTGTACAATTTTCCTTGGTTTCTTTCAGATCTGCTTGTCTTTGTTCTTTAAACATTCAGATATATATTTCAGTGTTAAGTCTTACAATTCAGTATTTTTAGTGCAATTACCAGTTGCATAAGTGATCCTTCCATTGCAATGATCAACTAATAAAAGGCAAGCTAATTACTAATATTTATTTATTAGCAGAAATCAGGGTCAAAAGATTTACAATTAAGGGACACACAATACTTGCTAGGAAAGGTTAAAGAGCAGGAGAGGGCCTTCTCAGTTGTGGGATGGCCTCTCCAGGGAGGTTCACCTGTTGCCCATCTTCTCAGTTGCAGGTCTTAATTCTTCCATTAAATGATAGCTTGAGGTCAACACATATTATTTCATAATTTATTGTCATAAATGTGGCTGGTATGTCACAGGGTAGACTCGTGCTGTCTGAAGCAGTCCAGTGAATGATGGACTCTTTAGTGAATGTTCTGAACATTTTGGGAAAATGTCACTTGCTCAAATCACAGGGAACAGATTTAGATACTAGAGATTGCATATGCTGAGGAAGGAGCAGATTTGATTTAGACAGAAGAACAGGCTATGGGCTTTGTTTGGGAACTCTTTTCATAACCCCAGGGAGGGGGATGTAAATTTGCTGACTTTAATCAACTGCATTCTTTCAAAAGAGCAACTAAACCTCTGGTGTTTGGGTTGTTTGTCATGCATAGGTATTTTCTATTCAGTTTATAGTATGGCTTCAGATGGTCTTATGGCCTTTGACATGGATTTTTAATATTGGTATGCAAATCTATTTATGTCAACTTGTGGACATGCCCAAGGCTGTTGCCATTTCTAGACAAAATCTATTCCTGGTAGTGGGATACATGCATGACTTCCTAACACAAGTAGGTAAAATGCTCACCAACAACCTGGTCTGATTGTAGGGGTACATCACTTTTATTTCAATATAAAACTTATATTACTATGAAATATTCTACAAAACACTCTTTTTAGCATGTTCATCAGAGTGGGATCCAACTATCTCTATTAAAATGCTTCGGCGAATGGGGCAGCATAGAAGTTTACTAAATAAATAAATAAAATGAATAAAAAACAAAACAAAACAAAGAGAAAAAAAACCCAGTTACTGTTCATTTGGATTTTGAAATCTTCTATGCTACCCTATTGTGTGCATGGAAATCAACTCTCCAGAGTGTGAACTATTTAGAGAGTCCAATATATATATATGCATGTGGTGCCAAAGCAGGGAGCAGAGCTGATGGAAGCATTATCATTGTCCCAAGACAAAGCCTTATAAAGAGAAATGAAGGAATACCTGGAAGGACTTGATGAAGGTCCACAGGAGCGTACGGATGCCCTCCCCTCGGCTCAAAAGCTTCACGAGACGCATCACCCGGAAGAGTCGGAAAAAGGTGATTGAGATGCGAGAGTTTTCCTCTGCGTTCTAGAACCCATTGGCACAGAGGGCAGTAGTTACAACAGTAGATGAAGAACACAAACCCTGGGCCACAGAAAATGCCACTTCACGGGAAGAGCTCACTGCACTGTTCCCCTGCCTTCTAGTTCTCTACTCTTCTAATAATCCCTGAGGTTCAGAGAGATGAATGTGGGTCTGACTGTCTCTTAAAGTTAGCGTTCACTTATTTTTAACTTCCTGATTCCTCAACAATTCTCTTTAGTCTTTCAGTAGGGCTATTCAAGATCTCATTCTTCCTAATTTTAAGAAGAAATATTTGTCAGTATTTGCTGATAGTGTGAGGGACTATTTTGCCTCTTCTCTGGCTAACAAATCATAACTGCCATTGACTATGAGACAGGAGGACACAATTTTGGTTTGGGATTACTTGATCTGAAGTACAAGATCAAGTAATCCCAAGGCCAAAAAGGTGCAAATAAAGTTTTAGATTGGCATGGGGGTTTACCATTTTGCCTGACCCTTACTCACAACTTCTTACTGCTGCATGTTGTGAAACAAGAGGAATGATGAGCAAGGCATTTCAAACCTTAAAAAACAAAACAAAACAAAACAAAACCTGGCATAATACAGGAGCACTCGGGGCAGACACTGGCCTAGTTTACATGTAAACCTAACCCAGTGTTCATTCAATCTGTGGTTCATTGACCCATATGAGTTTGGCAAATGTTAGAACAAACTGTGGTTCGTGTTTGCAGTATCAGGGTAGTTTGTTTTCTTCCTTTACCCACTTCCTCCCTGTATGCCAAATACCTTGTGTATGATGACTGACATACAGAGCAACTGGTGCTTTTTAATTGCTCGACTACCATCTTCTATAGTCTGACAAAACAACCCATTAATAATGCATGGTTTTGAATTCACAAATAACTAAAACACTTGTTAAACAACCCAGCACAAACCATGGATTCTCTTTCTGGGTTGTTTGGGTAACAAATCATGGTTTGTTAGTACAGTCACATTCGCAACAACCCAGAATTCCATAACCCTTAGTATTATGTATAAGCCAGGCTATTGTCATCTAGTGGCATGATAGCTGTTGAGACTGCAGCAGTCTACTTTGATGAACTGGTTTGAATGCATAATCAACCCACACTGAGGTGACATCACATGCATCAATTTAAGCATTCATATGCAATCTGTGTTCAGTTGACTCACTGATTTAAAAGGGTACATACACAGCCATGGCCTTTGGTACTCACAATTATTTTGTTCTATTTGGCCAAGTGGAAAAGAGATAGCTGTCCAAAGGCCATCTGGTCTTTCTCAAAACATGTTTGGCCAGCATGCAAAGAGGTTTGTGCAAAGACACAGTCATACTCAGTGGAACTCCCTTTCTCCACATGAATAGTTGTGAAGCAGCCCCCACTTTTCAGAATGTGGAGCTGAGCATGCAGTTAAATAAAGGCTCAGCAGAAGCAATATATACAGAATACTGGTGACTGAGACCCTATTGCAGACATGGTAGAAGAAAGTAGTCCACCAAACAGGAGACAGCAATCTTCAGCTGTAAGCAGCAGCAAAATAGCAAGAAGCTCACAGCATATATTGTGAAAGAGGACTTAGTGGTCAATGCTAACAAAATTCTTCCTTTCTGGAGAAAGACCCATGAGAGTAGATGCATAAATTATATTGGGGAATATAGTATTCCATGTGTTCCATGGATGTTTGCCTCTGTGACCGTAAAGTCTCTGTTCAAATCTGTCAATGAAAGACTTAATCTGTATTATCTGAGGAACAGCAGCAATTCTAAAGTTACTTTTGGATGGTGGTTCCCATTCAGTGAGGCCTGTACTACAAAACCCAAGTTGGCCTAGAAGGATCCAGGATCTGACAGTCCTACTATTTCTTTTGCCTTTTCTTTAGCTTTGTACTTTATACTCATTTATTCTCATTGTCCTCAGTTATATTTCTCATGACCCCTGGGCATTTCCCACAGCCTATGCCTTGCCCTGATAAAGCAGTTATTTTGGCCTGCCTGCTACTGTTTAATGGTCCCTAGAGCTTTTTCCCGTCTGGGCTCTGTTCTTCTCATAGCTCCTGCCTTGTTCCTTGGTGTTTGCCTCCTCCCATCCGATTTACTATGGGGCCTATAACTAGTTTGAACATTCCTTGCACTGCACTCATGCCAGAACAACAGTTTCTAAACTAAGTGGGACAATCTAATTTGCTTTAGATTCTGTGAGAAGACTCCCTGCTAAGCAGGCTGCTGATAGGGATGTTAGGAAATAAAGCTACCAAGACATCCTAAGGTAGATCAAAAAAGGATCCAGGTTCTAATGCCTTAAGATCTGTTCTTCTGGCAGATGTGCTCTGGAAACATAGCCTGTGGCCATGGGAGGGAATGGCACTTTTCCTTCTTATTTGCCTTTTCCTCCATTGCTGCAAAGCTAAAAGTTGGATACCATATAATGAAGTAGTACACAACCAGGAAACAGTGCAGATCACCCCACCCCAAAACACACAATACATCCCAATCTGAGATACTCACCACTGCATGTAGCCAGGAGAAAACAGAACCTTTGATTTCTTGTTAAGAGTGCAAAAATTATTTCTGGTCTGTATTTTTGAAACTCAGGTTACAAAATATCATTTCTCTAATATTTTCTATTTTTATCTAAATAATGTTTTAAATAATGCATATTGTTCCTTTTTAAAAGGAGGTATTGTTAAGATACTGTAGCCATAATCCATGCTTTGCCTCCATTGCAACTGGATTAGGTTCAATTTTTGTATACAGTATTTGTTTTCAGTGGACTTGCAGAACTCAGTAATTGGCTCTAATAATATAAGTCTGTTCTGTAGTAGATTGTGCATGAAAACACTGGTGTTGCAGTAAGTGAGAGAGGGAGTGCTTATTGTTTGGGGGCAGACAGCTCAGAAGCGATGGCAAAGAAATGCATTGAATGCATAGGTTAACACTGATGGTTCATTTTGCACAGTGTATCCAGCTTGAAACCTGAAGCCATGATTTATAGAATTTGTGAAGTCAAACTTGTGGTGCGCTATGGAACTGGGGCTGAAGAGAGAAAATACAGGGGTGACTAAGACTATGCCAGTATAACTTTACTGAATTTACTGGACTGATGGGAGTTACTCCTTAGTTACATTTCAGAATTGAAACAATGGAATATTACCTAATGTCATATCCAGTCATGTAGAAATGACAGAACCAATGTTGCTCCATCTACAGAATTACCACTCTCACACATCCATTGTGATGTTACAGTGGGATAAGAAAAAGTAACATAGCAGCCTCTAGCTACTATTTATCTTAGTCCATCAAAAGCAATAGTACAAGATAATTATAACCTCAAGTATAATGTAGAATTAATAAGCACCACCTGCCTGTAATCTGTATTTCCTGACAGGCAAGTTATGGATGCTACATGTGCAGTTGCTGTGCTGGCAACATGAATAAAAGGCACAGGCAGCCTGGTCCAGTGTGGGATGACTGAATTAATCCTGGCCCAGGTCATGGTGCTTCTCCCTTCCTCCTTTATAGTAGCTCTCAAAGAGTGCCCAAAGCGGGGTGCATGGCAAATGGGGACTGCAGGAATGCTCAGGGAGCAGTCAGAGTAGTTTGAAGTTTGCTGTCGTGTAAGTGTAAGCTTGGTCAGAAGGAGCTGTCCAGCCCAGAAGGAAGAAATGAGTTGGGGTCAGCCCCTGGATCTTTTTGCAGAGTGAGGACTACCAGGAGATTTCCACACTATTCATATTGTATTTGTGCCTAGAGTTCTTCACTCTATGGTTACATTTCTCAGACAAAAATATGAATGTGGACCTCACTCATAGTTGGAATTCATTTTGCCAGCCAATCCAGTTACTTTGAAGAATTTATTAGTAAAACAAACAAGAAATCTGAAAAGGATTCTAGTTCTCTCTTGGCAGTAATTCATTAGAAGATAGGACAACAGTTAATCTGACCAAAGGAAAGCTCACAGATGCACAAGAAATACAAGTCATGTGCAGCAAAATCAACAGCTCATGTAAACACCAGACTCAACAAACAAATACACAATATGGTGGCATCATGCAGAGATATCTAGGCTAGGCTTGAAGACAGAAACCTAGGTGGTCAGGTGGAGTGAGAATAAGGAGTGTATTAGGTGATTCAGAAGTGTGTCACAGAAGAAGCTGGAAGGGGTTCTGTTAGATCTTACCATAGAGGAAGAGCATTGGGTATGTTCAGCTGGCTTTAAAGAAAGGCAGACAGAGATAAGCTGTAATAAGTCTCCAGCGTAGAGGCCCAGAAGGCTGTGTCTTGGAAAACACAGGAACAACAAAACACCACAGCAAAGGAGGAGGAGGAGGAGGAGGAGGAGGAGGAGGAGGAGGAGGAGGAGGAGAGTAATAATAAAAAAAAAAATAGGGCTACACAATAGAAAAAGACATTGCTGATTTTCTAGAATGCAATGGATCAAATTCAGCCATGAGAAAAGAGACAGTGTCCTGCTGAATACAGCAGAATTCACATTTCTACACAAATTTATGGTGGGTATGTATTTTAATACATCGACTTATAGGTGTATAGACAACTTGTGATCTGCTGAGAAGTCTTGCCATTGGCTGTTTATTTCTTATTCCTCTTAAATCTGAACTATTTACTTGGAATAGTCTATGATACATTAATAGCATTACTCTAAAGTAATTTGCTTTAGGAGTGCAACTATAATAAATTGCATGCAGAATCTGGAAGGAGAGAACCTCTCCTTGTTTAATCCATTCTTCTCCTCAGTATTCCACTGCTAGGATATTTTTAAAAATGTCCTTACTGAAATCAGGACTCATTTTCAGTGCTGGGGTTTCCAGTTCTAAAAGGAGTTAACGTCTTAGCATATATTGCAAGAAGGAAAATATAAATTGAAAAAAAAAGACTCTTAGAGGAATAGTTGTATAAGATTTAAGGAGAAACCTAGACAGAACTGCATTAAACTGACCAATGGCCAACCTCAACCGCTTAGTTTATTTCTGTTCTGGACCTCAGCCAAGTCTTTCACAGACCAGTGTCTACTGATAATTCAACTGGAGATGTTAGGAAATGAATCTGCAATGTTATACATGCTAGTAACCCCTTTCTGATCATTCCAGACAGAATATTATCAATTGCTTATGTAGGTCTGACTGTACCTTGAGTGCTAAATTTGAAGGTAGCAGCTATTTCATTCTGAATGGGATGCAAACCCAATGCAGACACGGACTGTGAAGGAAAGTCATGAGTGTATCGTGCTAACTACTGACAAAATATTCACTAGCACAGTGCTTTAAGAAAATAAAGCACACAGGGAAGCAAAATGTTCATTGTCAGCAGAGACATGACTTGCATGTTAGCCACACATGGCAAAGTATTTTTACTAGACCATTTTCCTCAGAACATCAGAACAAAGGCCATGTAAAGCATTGATACTTATGGTGCTGTTGAGTTTCTCTGTGGCACAGTGTGATAAGGCCACAGGGAAAACTTGGAGATTATTATGTGCGTTTGTATTGCTATTTTAAATGCACCTTGTAGCTGTGAATGACCAAAAAATTACAATTACAATTTGTTTTATAAAATAAAAAAGTAGATAATTTAGTTCTTGGTGGGGTTTGTTTTGTAAAGACAGGGGGGATTTCTTCATCAAATAAGATGACATAAACCACTTCCGAAAAAAAATCTGCTTTGCACCCAGGGGACATTAACAACAATAGGCCTGTGGCCAATATTCCCTTCTAAAGCAAGGTGTTTGAACAAGTAGTGGCTGAACAGATCAAGCCACTCTTGGATGAAGACCCATTTCAGTCTAGATCCATTTCATTTGGGCTTCAGGCCTGATTTTGGAATGGAAACTGCCTTGGTTGGCCTGTGGGATGACCTTTGGCAGAGGAAAGGGGGAGTATTATCATGCCTCCTAAAACTCTCAGTGGCTTTCAATACCATTGGCCATATTATCCTTCTGGATAGGCTGGTTAAGTTGGGAGTAGGAGGTCCTGCTCTGCAGTGACTCTGCTCCTACTTGACCAGCTGATTCCAAAAGGTGGTGCTGGGGGACTACTGCTCTGTGCCACGGCAAGTATGCTGTGGCGTACCACAGGGCTCTATTTTATCCCCCATGCTATTTAACATCTACATGAAACTGCTGGTGGAGACCACCTGGAGATATGGGATGAAGTATCATGCAGATGACACTCAGCTCTACTTCCTTTTTCATCCAACCCCGGTGAGACAGTGGCCAATCTGAATTAGTGTCTTGGCATGATAATGGACTGGATGAGGGCCGTCAAACTGAGACTCAGTCCAGTCAAGACAGAAGTGCTGTTGTTAGGTGGATCAACTGTCCATTTGGGTGATATTCAACTTGTTCTGGATGGGGTTGCACTCCTCCTAAAGGACAGGGTTTGTAGTTTGGGGTGCTCCTGTACCCAGAGTTGTCACTGGAGTCACAGGTGAACTCTTCTTCTTTTCTTTTTCTTAAGATGACGTGGCCTTCTCTCTGCAGGGATAGGGAACCGCTGGCCCGTTGGCCAGATGTAACCCTTGGGAATTCCCTGTCTGACCTGAAAGCTTCTTTTGCTGTTATCTTCAATCAATGATCAAGATAAGAAGGTATTTAAAGGTTGTATATTGAAGTTAAACAATTGAGCTCTGCTTTGTAGGATTTAGAAATGTACAATATTCTAAAAGTGAATGTACTTCAGATCTCAGTTATGACACTATGGTATTTGTTGGTATAGTTGTACTAGTAAATTGTCAAGTAGGAAAGGGAGTGAAAATCTGTTGATTGAAAGTGTGAAAAGTGATAAATGACTTCTTCTCAAATGTCTTTACAACAGAGTAGAACAATGTGGACTGCAGTATTGTTTCCTATTTTGAAATGTGAATAGGCAAAAGTAATGCCCAAAACTCACCTATATTGAATGTAATGAATTAGAGAAACCATATTGTGCTTTCTGTGAGAAAGATCTGTAAACATTGTCTAGTATTTCTTAGCGCTAACACAGCAATGAAATAATGCATATGTTTTGAAAGGGTGCATGTTACATCTCTGCTGATAAGAGTGTTGTAGAAATCTGAGCTTCCAATAGTAGAAATGTCTTCAATGAAGACAGTGGGATTTGCTATGTCTCATACTACACAATACCCTACTCTGTGACAAAGATCATTGAGAGCTGCTTCAGTTCAATTATATATCATGAACGTCTGTGCGAGAAGTCCAGAGCATTCACAATTCAAGAGCTACAGTTCCTATGAAAGTATGACTTCAAGGGATCTATTTGTCAAGCACTGCTGCTGCTGTCAATGTGCTATGCAGATTTCAGTTCTCAAGTTAGACTATCACTGGTTGAAGTCAGTGGCTCACCTAAATACTACATATTCCAAACTGGTCAATATCCAGTGCAGTAGCAAGTTGTTTTTTTTACAAATGGACTACTACCTTTCTTGTACTATTGTTTCTCTTACTTACAAAGGTGCTTTGTGGAACTTTGTATCAGCTGTGGGAATAGTAGCATCTCAACATTTTTTTCTAGCACCACAGAACCACTTAGCTACAAACGGTAAATAAATACATGTTATGAACAATGTAGAAATCCCATACAAATGCACCAGATTTCTTCAAAATGAAATCCTTATAGACTCAGTGGTGATACCAATGGAGAAACTGAATACTTGATGGCTTTAGTTAAAGTAGCTGTTCTGTAATTTTAGCAAGCTGTATCATCCTTGCTTTTAATGGCAATTAATTTTTGTTGAGATTTGTTCTTAGGCAAGCACAGAATAAACTATCCACCACATGCCTGTGGTAGCTGTTCTAGTTTATATTGAGGACTGTACTTTGTTTGGAACTCAGCTATTGGGAACTGCCATATACCATGTTATTTTAGTATTCCGGAATGTAAGATTTGTTGAAAGATGGGACAAAACTTCATATCAGATGTGGTAGGTGTTCATCTCCAGATATCTTTCTCCTTGAATCCAGGTATGGGAGATGATCACCTTTGTGATCTCCTTTGCTGCTCCCTGTCCAGGTTACATTCTTCTTTTTCAACAGACCAATTCTTTATGGCATCTTTAAGTATGTCTCATGTCACCTTAAGCCCTAAAAGAAGCTATAAGCATCAGAAATTCAGAGTCTTCTTAAAGCTAGTTTATTCTGTCTTGTCCATTTACCTTTGTATTGCCCTATGCATGGAGCTCTGATTGTGAATCTTACAAACAGTGCAAGTGCTATTGTAGGAGTCATATAATATGGAATATATAAGGTAGAAATAAGAGAATCAATATTGATTCGTGGAATTTTATAGTAACAAAGGTACAATACCTCCAAGATTATGTTTATCATGCAACAGACCACTTGTTCATCTCTTCACAGGGAAAAGACCTGGATCCAGAGCCTTACTCTCAATTTCTGCCTTCTAAACAAATGAGTGGCACTGATGTGATGACCAGGACTATGCATATGCAGTGGCTTACTAGATGAGGCTTTGTACTGTCAAGGGTCTCATGCTAAGCACCTGTCGGCACATGCAATTCCTTATCCAGATAGGTATATGTGGATTTTAGATACATACCTAGAGCAGGACAGAAATCCAATACTCAGAAGGAAAATAGCATTCTGTTGATATAAACAATCTCATGCTATTTTAATATCTTTAATGTAGGTTATAGCTAATGAGGCTTGAAGTGATCCATTTTATATTTATTTTATTATTTTTGTAAGTTTTAGGAGCTGCTGCACTAATTAACATTTTTCCTATATGTAACCTTCATTTCAATGGCATGCATTTACAGACTGTAAACTTATCATTACACATGCTGAAGTAATTATAATAGAAGTCAAATGCGTTTATTTGTTTATGCAAAGGACTCCCCACAGTATTACATATTGATTGATTTATGGAAAAGTCACATTCTATAGATCGGAGTTCAATTTCTAATTGAATTTTAAACAGAAACTATAAGAGATGGGAGCTAAGTATACACACATGCTTCCTAGTTTTCACACTGTGTTTACAATTCTTTTCATTAGATAGAAAAAAATAAGACAAGGAAATGGGCAGGATATTGAGCTCACAGCTCTCTAAGAAGAATCAAAGGTTTTTGAACATGTTATCAGAAAATGCTTTCTAGCACACTATGTTTCTATCTATTGATTGGAGATTTGGCTTTTTGTCTAAAAAGAATTTAAGCATTTGCTGAAGAAGTGCCATTTTAGAG